CTCTGACCCTGAAACCCCCCCCCCCACACACACACACAAGCTTAGTGATGTAGGAGACATCCACAATACCTCAGGATATGATGGGGTAGCGATCAACTCTTGAATCACAAAAAAATATTAAGGACCAAGAAACTTTCCAAAAATATAATGAATACAAGCTGCTCATTCTACAATTTCATATTATTTATGACTTGTGGCCCTCTCAGTTACCAAGCCTGTCATTTTAAGGAGGGATGATTTGACATTCAGGTTAACCTAGCTTTGACTCGGACTTCCTTTGAAAACCAAGACGCCTCGATACTCCATCACAAGTGTACGAGGAAGCATAAACTGCACGCTGAGCAGCAGATTCACGTTATTCACGCCTTAGACGGTGATGCCGGGGCCACCCGCCCTGCCAGAGAAAGCTGGACAGAGATTCTGCCCCCGCCCTTCCCACATCGTCGCATTCCTCACAGCCATTCCCAGTGCTGAGAAAACGTGAATTATTTAAACACTAAATCACTAGCCACCCTTAGAGTAATGTGCATGCTCATGTAAATTATAGTATATAAAAAAGTGTCAACAATTAACCTATTCATTGTAACAATGGATTCATATTCATAACCATAGTTGTGGTGCAGGTATCATGCGCCACAACTCTGCTGGTCTCTCATTGGCTGAAATACTGCCGCCACCCTCCACCCCCCCCATGTCTATGAGAGTCTATGGTTTGCACCTTCATAAAATGAGGCAAAATGTTACCATTACAAAATCAGGGGACTTTTTGTCTTAAAAAAAAAAAAAATGGTCTAATAAATATCAAAAAGTGTAGTGAGTGTTATTTTCAGTTATTCCTTCTCTTAATGGTTAGGGCCATGCAAAAAATAGCATTACGTAAACATGGAACAAAACTATATTCACACGTCTGAATTAAACTCTGCTTTCAAAATAAGCGAAAACCATCTGCATGGCATTTACAAATGCCATCCAATTACAACGTTTATATATTTTATAGGCACGCGTGCACACACAGTAACTTAAGGGCACCCAAAGCGATGTGTTTAATTCTATGTCTGTAACTAATTAACTAACCCTGACCAACACTTAAAACACAGTCACCTGTTCCTTACACTTTTAACAAGTTGCAATTATCTTTATAAAAAGCCCCAACCCAAATACCATCACTGCATTACCCTGAAGCAAGTCATACGACCTAAATCAGCAAAGTGTCCAGAGTGTAAAAGTGTCTAAGCAGCTTAATGACATATAACAGAATATACAGCAAAGTAATTGTCACCTACGGCATTAAGTGAAGTACTACATACCAGGTGTCCCAAACCTGCAATAAAAAGTTTGGCTATAATGTTAAGGCATTATATAATCCCTAAAATGAACAACACATTGTCACGTCACTTGCATTAAAAGATCCTGCTTTGAGGCGCACATTTAACATCCTGCAAACAGACTAGCATCACCATTTGTACTGATTAGGAAACGCATTGAATCCATTGCCCCCTGGCTTTGCCGAGCAACATCTACTCGATGTAATGGGCCTGATTTAATTACGCCAACGAAAGGCCAAGATAATTTGTGTGAAGTTTACTTCAAAGCCATGGCAGCACTTGATAACTAATAAAACTCTAATCCTCTTTAGGGCATCCTCTTTTGCCACAAGTCATGGTTTCCTCCTTTTTTCTGAGCGAAGGAATTCCTCTTTCACAATCGTTGCTACAGACAGACCCATGTAAAGCACCCAGACAGAAACTTGTGTAACCACCTAAAGCTGTTAAGCTCACTACTGACGACAGTCTTTCCAGTGATTGATTAAAACTCAACCAGTGGCTCCAGTGAGTTCAGCTGGGTTGGTGCAAATGTAATCGGCCCTGTTTGCCTCAGTTGGTATGCTCCGCGAATGCCTTACTGATGTTCCCCGAGTCTCTGACGACTGCAAAGAAAGCCCTCCATCCCCAGACCATGGAATGCATTGTGCTGAACACCGTCCACAGGAATGAAGCTCACATCCTCTCAGCCTTTCCTGAAATTTACAGCCCTGTGCCTCTGTGACTGAGCCAGACGCCATAATGGCACGTTCCACACCCAGACTTGACAGCCTTTCCCAAAATACATACTCAGTCATATGTGTTCTGCCACATCACCCCTTGACGTACTCTGGAACATATTTCTTTGGTGGAGTTTACTTTTCTTTCACAATGTACTGTGTCAGTGTTGCTTTGTTTAACCTGGGCCTATACTCTCTCAGATTTTCAACCAAGGTACAAGGCAGAATTTCCAAATGATTATAAAGGCAACAAATTAAGATTTCTTAGGATTAGGATTTCTTAGTGTTGCTTCTTCAAGGTAAATTAAATGATTCTCTGGTTCCATCAAATCTACAGTAGGTATCAGGTGCTTGACCTCAGATTAACATACCAGAACCCTGACCAGATAGTTGATGAGGAACACACCAATCCTCAATGCAGCCGAGTCCGTCTCCGTTTTCCAATTATTATTAGCGGTTGATGACATGATGCCAGTGACCCCTACGGCTTTCCAAATCTTCCACTCTGCACTTTCTCAGCAAGCAAAGAGCCCGTGAAAGTTTAATGGCTGCTGTCCACCTGGCCTGGGATTGAAGGCATCTTGTGACCGCAGACAGGTTTTTGGTTTCCTTCCACGTCTCTCGCATCTGCTCTGCTCCTGGCCTCGGCCGAGGCGTTCCTGTCTTCGTATAAACATGACAGAGAACCCGCCACACAAAAGCACACCAGGGGAAAATCAATGCGCTTTTTTTTTCCTCGTGGGATTACGTCAAATTGACATCGGGGGCGATCCACTCGAGGACCATTTCACCCCCCAAATTTGCAAACTGAAATCGGCTTTCCTACTTGCAGGAGGTCACGTGCCTATTGCCGCCGTCCGTGAAAACCTAGCTACTGAGCAGAATACGCACCCAACAGCAACGAATTCCAGCAACACTAACTGACAAATGAAACTAAATAACGATAACAGAGACTCTTTAACATAAGTGTTTCTTTTCAGCTCCCACTGTAAACATTCTTCAGCAGCTGCAGAACAGGGAATGTGTGGGACTGCTTACTGATTCGAAATAAAGAAGTCTGGGCTGGAAAGCAGCAGAGGGAGGTGGGAAGTAGTGGAGATGGGGAGGGGGCATAGTACACTGAAAGAAATGCTTCCCTCGGTTGCTGTGGGCCTGTGCATTTATAAAGCTGTTCTTCTAAGCAGATCTTCTTCCCCTTCTGGGAATGTGTCCAGCTAGCAAATGAGCCCTAGTAACAAGAGAACACAAGCTAGTGAATAGCCACTACTGAAAGTCTTCCATAAAGGTTCCTCATCAGCCCCAGAGACGCTTCTCTTTTTTTTCCCCCACAGCTGAGAACCAGAGGCCACAGCAATAAATGGTTTGTGTCATAACAAAAGGCAGTGAAGTTCTGGGAGTAAATCCTAGAGGAAAATCCCCAGCTCCGAAACATACCCGATTGTGCACATTTGTTTGGACCGTAGATGCTTATTTGGTGCTTTCAAACTGACAAAAGGATTCTGGGAAGCAGGGGCAAAGTTTAGTGGCATAAATTAAAGGCTTGTCTGGGGCAGCAGTGTGCACCACGTGTAACTTTCAGCACACCACACGGGGTGTCTAATCAATCAGGAACGGACAGCAGAAGGGTCACTGCCAACAACTGCAGGTCTTCCTCACTCATCGCCAAGAATCCGGTCGAACCTGTGCAAGTACAGGCTGACTCCGCTGAGTAACCATGGGGAAAATGTCAAAAGAATTACACTGCTATTTGTTTTTAAGGCAATACATTTCAATACATAGATACTGCCCTCTGCCAATTACTGACTCACGATTTTTACTATAACTCATAGTTAAAAATCTGGATAACAAATACCAGCCTTAACCTGTCTTGTAATTAAGAAAACTTGTTAAAGAATTATGAAATATTTTTAATTACGCAAGCTAATTTAAATGTTCTCTTAAACATATAAAAAACTAATGTAAACATTGAAGCATAACAATTCCACATGTATCAATCAGCCGTGTTTTAAGCAAATGTAGTACCAAGGCAGTTACTTAAATCCCAGAGCATATGGCTCTTAAGGATTCGAAACCAGCTCAGCACGTCGATATGCTGTTAGATGTGTTTTTTCTGCATCAAAGCCTCTCTTAGGAAAAGTGAGAAAGCCCTGAAAATATCTTAATAATGTCCAGCTGTCATGTGAAATATCATTAAAGCATCACCTGACCAACCGATATTTTTTACAACATCTGATAAAGCATATAAAGCAAGGTGGTGGCTTCTCGAGCAGGCATCTGAGTTACCTTCCAGTAAGGCATCGTCAGACCTGGGTTCCCCATGTAAAGCAGGCAAGGTCACTGACTGACACCTTGAGGCTATTTTAAGCTGGGATGTTAATCAGGTGTGGAACTGCAGGTGTTTTCCATCAATTTGAACCGGCAACATCTCAGTTTAGTTTTGCAACAGATGCATTTGACAAACAGCTCAGCATTGCATGCCCCCCCCCCCACAAACATAACTGTAGGTACCTCATGGCACTTAACCATGGCTGCTTGACAGAGCAGAACTTTTATGTCCACCCAGCTGTATAAGCATGGATACTATCACGTCAGGCACCGTTATAGAAATAGGTTAGCAGCCCACATTCTTCAACCATGCATAGCAGGTTGTGGGGGGCCGGCAAACAATCAGTACATGATATTCTCCACTGATGGGTCTCTGGGACACCTTACAGGTTGCCGTTCTTACACCTGCCAGCAGACACCACCCGCCTACCTCCTTCTGCATGACCTGCTTTCCGAATTTCCATATACCCGTTTCTCAGACATCACCTATTTACATAGTAACACCGGCGTGATCCACAATTTTGCATTTATTAACAGTCATTAGTTATGCATAATCTCCACATCTGGATCAACTTTAGTTCGCGCAATTCCTATAAGATCTAAAGCAAAGTTGTTAATGACGAAAGTCACAAACCTTGACCGGAGAGCCCCGAGAAGCAATCGGTAGGTCTCGGATCGGTGTCCCTGGAGTCGAACCTGCAATGCCGGCCGCACATCCAAGAGACACCCCGGTCAGCGCTGGTCTCCCCCCGTTCCTGGGTCGTTGCTTAATACCATCCAGCAAGCGAACCAGGAGGATATTGGCCGGCAGATCATCGACACCGCAATCCACCAGTATCCGGCACTCGGGGCAGCGGAGCTCGTTGCGGGAGCAGAGAATGTTCTCCAGGCAGCGGCGGCAGAAGGTGTGCTGGCAGGGCAGCACTTTGGCGGTGGTGTCCAGCCGCTCCAGGCACACGGAGCATTCCAGTAAATCCAAGAGCGACGACTCGTCCATTTTCAGCAACACTGACACCAACGATCGCTTTTGCCCGGTCCACGTACGGCGCACCAGTACATGCTGGCGGTACTTTCATAAGAGAACCCCCCCCCTCCCAGGCTTCGAGCCGCTTCTCACGCAGCTGTGCAGGGGGGAAAAAGTGAGGTCAGATATTCAACACCATCAGCTCATAGTATCAGCGCAGCGATGCACCAAAGTGATCTGGAATTACACTGAAAGACGGTCTGGGAGACTTTTAAAACCCAGGTTTCGTAGCTTAAAAAAAAACCCAGCACCGACCCCTCTCTAGGCATCGCTGTTTCGCAGACATGCCATGACGTCGTGTGCGCGCGGCGCCTCTCAGCCCGCTCTGATGCTGCAGATGATCTCAGTGATTGTGAAATCAGCCCAGAGACTTTGTTCCGCTGGTCATCGGATCCCCGATCTTCTCCCACATCATCATGTGAATGACTGCACGCCGCCTCTACTCCCTTCTTCATCCAGACAAGAAGCGCAAGATGTTTCCCTAGGAGTGACTTCAACCGACGCCAGAGGATGAATCAATCAATGCGTTATTATCGTATTATTATCGCTCGCTGTGGCGTTGTAGTCGCTGGTTGTCACTTGTAGACCTGTCGGTGTCACGTCATGTTTACCTGGTTATGACAGAAAAAGTTGCCATTCGCTTTTTCATTGCGTGCGACAAGCCCTGCACCACGGTGCCAACACCCCTACGGGGGGATTTTAACCTTACTCCAGATACAGATTAGGTGCACGACAGTTAAACATGCTGGAATCGCTCTTTCCATTGCCTGCCGATAAGTAGAATGAACGCAATGTCAAAGTACTCCGGCTTACATTTTTATAACTGTAGTTGTAGCATCAGCAGTAGTAGTATCAATAATAATAATAATAATAATAATAATAATAATAATAATAATATGGAGATTAAGGGAAAAAAATAAATCAGACTAGCATCACACAGTTATGATAGAGTAACCGTTTAAGAAGTCCATACTCCACACGTCGAAATGCATGAACATATTTGATGTCTGCAATCAGCGTTGTCAATGAAACGATCAACGTGTAGCTGGCGAACCGCTTTCGGAAGCAGCTGGAGAGACGCAGGGCGGAGGGGTCGAGACAATGCAATTAAGGCTTTGTGAATGTTTTGTAATCCACTACCCCCTAGCGGCAAATTTGCTATCGTCATCCCGTCCAATTCTGCGCAAATACATTGTACAAGTACAGTAAGCTCATAATAGAATCAATACCCTTGGACATCTAATTTAGGTCGACTTGCAGAAAATTCCTTTTAAATATCACATTTATCACTGCCCAGGTTTAATTCATATCTTACAATTTGCGTTTTTGAGCCCCTTTATGTCTTTTGGACTTAAAAGTGACCTGGTGTCAAGTAAATCTAAATGAGTGTCACTATTTTTATTGAGAAAGGCACAGAAAAGGCATTGGTATATTAGTTAAACTGTTTGAGAAGTGTGCGAGAACAGTTTCATATTACATATTTGAAACTGTCATATCAATCGATATAAACTCAAATTATAAAGTAGGCCATAATTTCTCAATGATTTTACCTTAATTTAATCCAAAACCAAAATTATTTAATAAAACACACAAGTGCTTTGCAATATACCTTATACAGTATTTGTATATGCATTTGCAAGATAGGTTAACTGACTGCAGCATAATATTTGAGAAACAAGCTCAGTTGAGGTTTATTTGTTTACAGTGGTACCTCAGTTCTCGAACTCATTATAACTCGAATTTCTTAAAAGTCGAACCAACCAGTTCGAAAAAAAAAAAAATTACCTAGAGCTCGATCTGAATCTCAGAAGTCAAACTGTGAACGCCGACCTAAGATAACTTGTACGCACGGGGAAATGAGTCACGCAGCACGTCTCTCAGCGGAAATATAGGGTAAAGCTAATTCAGTCTCAGCCTAGCATTAGCTGTGATAGCACCGTGCATGTTTACACTAACTGAATGCATATATTTAGACAGTAAAAATACACTTAGACAATGATAGACAGTAACAGTAATTATTATTATATAATAAAATACATTTTAAAATAAAGATTTCTTATTAATTATTTTAATATTAATAATAAACCATTAATACGTTTAATTATAATAATCGTGCCAAGCAGGAGGGAACGGAGACAAAGGCGCAGACGTCAGGGTATCGGGGAATACGGGGTTTAATTACAGGTAAGGCAGGCAAAACGCAGACGGACAATACAATGACCGACTGGGGAAACAAACTGAAACGCGGACTAAATACAGAGGACTAATGACAACCAGAAACAGCTGATCACACTGAGTTAACGAGGGGGCGTTGCACACGGAAGGAGCGGACGATCGGGGCAGGACACATTGTTTGGATACATTTATTTTCTTACTTTACATACTACTGTTTTGATAAATGTGCTTAGATGTGTTTAGTACAGTATATGCTCTTCTTGTTTTATCCGGTTAATTTTGTGTTTAAATGCTAAAAAAAAACATATTTAGGTGTAATTTTTTGGGGCCGGAAACCAATTAATTGGTTTTCCATTATTTCTTATGGGGAAAATTCGATCACAACTCGAACTTTTTAGGATTCGATCCGGAGTTCTGAGGTACCACTGTATTTTCATTTTCATGCACACTGGAGAGGTTACTTAAATTTCTATTTTCAGGTGGCATGATTCACAGTAAAGGTTTAATCCCTGTAAACAATCCCTGTGCCAGCTATGCCTGAAACTGCTCTAACTAGCACTCTAACTAGGGTATGGTCATGGAAGTGTATGGGGGGGTTGTAACCCTGGGACTCTTTAAATGGGTGGAAACCTCAACCCCCTCAATGCTCAACCCAAAGTTATGCCCTTGGGTATGGTATATATGCAGTTTGGTACAACGACTGCATTGAAAAAGACTTATAACATTTGTTAAAGGCCGTAGCAATTGAGTTTTACAAATATCTAGCCTCTGCTTTTAGAGGAAGGCAAATGGAAAGGCTGTTACCTTGTCACTTGATTCTTTTCCAAAACTTGCCAGTCAATGATTACACATTATAGAGATATTTTGGTTACTGAATACTGATATTCATTCATTTTTCTTAACATTATCCTGAACCAGGAATATTTCTATCAACAGGTGATATTTCCAAAGAGCATGAGCTGTCTCTGTGTGATGTCTTTATGAAGGGACGGCAGACTGGGTCAGTGTGTGGCCAGTTACCTCACACATCCAGGTCTGGGCTTTGAATTTGGCCTCCCCAAGCCTCATGGGTATCCTTCTGTGGTTCACTGACATAGAGTTAGTCTCACTGTATCTTTAAATTTTCCTGCGATTGACTGGCAGCCAGCACTAGTCCTAGCCTGTGTGGCACAGGTGGTGAGCATCACCACCAGCACTCCCCATCAAAGGCAAAATGAAATTGACTTGCAAGTTGGTGCCCCACCAGAAGCTGAAGCCCTAACCCTATGTTGCCTATAAGATAACTTACTGGACCTGTGCTGCCCCCCCGCCCCAATTTATCACACGTAACGTGTTGGATAATCGACGCATTCAACAGAACATTACAACTGATCAATGCCCATTAATCGACCTTGCTTACGCTGTGAATGTATTTTATCCCTAAAAATCAGTATATTTTAATATTCTGCCTTTGATTCAAATACATATGGGATGTATTTTATTACTTTAATATGCCCTCAATGGCAATCCACCTCGACATTTATTATTTAACTTGTACTAAACGAATCGGGAAAATCCGATGCTAACCTTCATACGGGTTTCAATTAAAAATAATTACTAGTGAGCGCTTGAAACACGCCTTTGGGACGTTCCGCCACTAGATGGCGGTAAAGTAACAAACCCCCGCCTCTACCTGAACCAGGTTACTTATTTCTAGGGCGGAGGGGAACCTTTTTTATTAGGAGGAGCTATAACTATAAGGGACATGCATGCAGTTACAGTCAGTCGCTGATTTCTGCGTACAAGTGTAGCATTTCAGTCTAGTCCATACAACGTTAAAACTTAAACATGAAGTATTTAAACTGAGATTCTTAGAAACACCAAGGAGCAGTGGGAGTAATTCATCACTTCGCCATACAAAATCTTCTGGAAGTACATACCACAATCCCTTCGAAATCCCTCTTGCAGGTAAAGCGTTTATGGAATGTGGCTGGATTACTGAAAGGGAATTTCCTAGATAATTCATGTTATATACACACAATATGGTGTTCGGGCTAAAATTCTGTGCATGCATTAAACGATTTCGTGCATTACAGTAATTTAAGTAAATTGCATTTTGAAATTGTAACTAATGACGGTCGTCATCCTTGTCATCATAACAATATAATTATTTTAATATTAAGATTTATATCTGTTAATTGCTTAGCCATTTTATTGTGTACGTTTTTCTGAAGAGTATGGTATATTGGTATATATGCAGTTTGGTAGAATGACTACATTGAAAAAGACTGGTACAGTATATACAGTGACCTGAGAGAGACCCTCTGGTGCGTCCGTGGTATATAACCGAACCGAATCGAACTGCATGTTTCCTCTGCGGGTCCATCAGCACTTGTAGCTGGACGGTGCAGCCGAGGTGGTGCTCATCAGGGGCGACTCCAAGAACTTTTCGGGGGGGTTGAGACAAAAGATGGGGTTGCTGAAGCCCCCCTAAATAGAGTCTATAGTATATAGTCTCAATAGTGTTGGATAATTGTCCGGTTTCAGCAAACTCCCGGACGAAAGACCTGTATGGCGCTGGACACAGACCAAACACGTTCTTGCTGCTCCCTTTGTTTTTAAAAGCCTATAACGATGGGAAGCGTCCATTTTTTACTCTTTCTCTTGGAGTATTTTATGTCTAAACGTAGAAGTTAGGAGTTAAGGGGGGAAATATAGTTTAGAAAAACACATCTATGTAAATTGATTCAATAAACAAACAGTCCTCAGTAAAGTCGTAATAATAAAAGAGACTGAGAAACCGAAATGTATAGATAAGATGTTTGAATTACATTTGGTACAGAACATGTCACCTTTCTCTACACATAAATAACCTGTGCTTAATAAAGTCTGCATTTTTATACACTTTTGAATGTAATATAACTTTAGGTCTGTTTGCAAAATTAAGCACTGAACATCCAAGAGACATTAGTACCTAAAATTAGCAAAGACATTTCACAGACACTTCTCATTACATAATTTGACGCAGTTGGGTTTCAGTCACAAAATGGCTTTGTTGATTTTTATGACAATGTTTTTTATTAAACAGTAATACTTAGAGAGCACTTCATGAAGTTCTCGCGTAACAATAAAGCTATTAAAAAGTTTTTTGACAAGATAATCCTACATTATTAAACGGAAAATATTCTCAAATTCTAATTTATTTTGAATTTCCCTTTTGCTTTGTTTATATGCATTACTTTGTGAAATCTCCCTTTTCCAGCCATTATTTTATTCCGTAAGGAATGTCAAAGCTGAGCAATAATAATTCAAACAATAATGTATAATCACTTTATGGTAATGTGCTTATACCACTGCCCAACAAGCACGCACAAATTGAAATCCATCCCAATATTGTAAGTTGCTTTAGATAAAAGATAAATGAATATATGTATCTATTAGAGAGAATTAAATTTCAGGATAGTGACACCTGCAGGACTTCTTGCATGTTTAAAAAGTGAGATTCAATGACTTGTGTCATAGAAGCTCAAGATCTAAACAAACTGTAGGAGCTGTGTAAGTGTGCACACGTACAAACACACACGTACAAACACACGCGTACAAACACACACATACAAACACACACAGAAACACACACATACACACACCTTCCTGCTCATTTGTGCTAAACAGTTTTTGTTACAATATTTTAAGGTAGTATTTGCACTATTATCCACTATAATTTTTCAACAAGAAGGTAATCTTGTTTAACTGCTAATTCACATTTTTATGAGTATTTGTAATTACTGTAATGTTTATTGTTTAATACTTAGTCTCTTTATACATTTGTCTCTTCTTAGCACAGTCTTGGAGTTAAGTAAACAAAAATTTCACAACACGTTGTACAGAGAGTAGAACTGTGTATGTGATAAATCAAACTTTGATTTGATTTTTTCCTGCTCCATGTTCGGTCTTAGTCTTTGAGTTTGCCTTTGCCTGGTGAACAGAGCATGACATTTCTGCAGACTGACAAAAGCAAAAACTCTCCTATGTCTCTCCTCTGAACTAGAGTCAGTACCCAGAGCTGCCCCAAGAGTCACTAAAGAAACATCTCTGCTGCTGTCCTTAACAGCAGAAGCTCAGTGCAGTGTTGCCGCGGAGCAAGAGGCCTCACGCCAGCTCGCAGTCGGCGGGATCAAGCGGTAAGACGGCAGTGAAAGACGCACTTGTGCCTCTTTCATCAGCTGCTGTAGGAGATACACACAGACTATTGACAGGGGCTACAGTTCGAGGTGGGGGAGGCTTTGCGCCTCCTTTTCATGTGTGCTTTTCGTTTGTTTTTGCGGAGGGAAGTCGATGGAGACACTGTAATTACAGTTATCACAAGACAAACAGAAAACGGGACTCAATAATATCTAGATAATTAGACAGTCCCCAGATTTACAGACAAATGCAGTTTGATGTTACGGTTGTATGAAGTTTAGTGAAAAACTATAATTAGGCTGTATATCCATGTATGTTTAACAAAGATCATAGCTATGAATATATTTAGAAAATTCATCTATTTTAGGAGGGGAAATACTGGCCACGGTTCTCAGTATTGACACTGGTTTCTCCGCTAAAGGGACACACATTAAATCAGCGCGGAATTCCTCGAGCTGAAGCTTAACCACATTATTTTAATTTTTTTGCATTTAAATAAATATACCAGGACTTCTCTGCGCCTTCTGTGTTGTATGATGGTGGAGCTACTGACGAATAACGTTAGCTGCACTGCATTTTGCAGTGTAGCACTAACAATATAGGCATTTTTTACAGCTAGAAGAAATATAAATACGGTGTTCTTTAGGTTTCTTTGACAGGCTCGCATGTTTAGTCAGTTAGTTAGTAAATATTACATGGCAACAATCACTGGTCATATTTTATGTTTGCATTTTGTTACTATAGTAGGAAAAACATTTGAGACCAGAAAAGTGTTTGCATCTGCTTAGCTGAACGTTATCCAAGACAACGTCCATAGCTTACACTTAATGCATTTTTAAAAGACTGAAGCAGTTAAAATTAGACCCACAAAATAAATTTTTGGTTTATAAACAAAGAAATGGAAACTATTATGAATTTAATATGTTGAGAGAACAAAGTTATTTAAAGGTTTTTCAGGGATCCATAAAAGAATAAGTGAGCACTCTGTTACTTGCAACTGTAATGCTTTGTCCTGGTGTTTTCTAAGAAAGAATAGACTTAACTTGGTATTGGAGACAACAGTGAAAAGCAAGCATTATAACTCCTGCTCAGCATTTCAGCAGCGTGAACCTACATGTGCTGACATCAACCTTTTACTTTTCTTAATCTAACAATTAACCCTGAAGAAAGTTCTAGGCACTAAACCCTTAACATATTTTTTTCTATATAAGGGCTATAGAAGATTTTAATTAATAATAATAATAACAATAATATTAATAACAATAATGATATGATGATGATGATGATGATGATGATGATGATGATAACCACTGTGGTAAACAGTGACAGCAAAGGACAGATCAGGTGTCGTGTTGGAATTCTTGAAACCTGCTAGGATTAGTAGCTGCTTAAAGCCATTGAAGGTTTTATTTACTGAGGATGGTTGAATCTGAGGAAAGGGACAGATTATGTCATTAAAATGGAGACAACAAAAGACCTTCGATTTATCCATTTAATCAGTCACAATAGGGACTGCGGCTCTCCCCAGGTCACTCAGACACCTGCATTAAACACATTAAACAGTTTCATTTAAAAACTATTAACCTTTAATTAACAGCTGCTGTTTCCTGGATTTCAGTTTACTAATGAAGTTTAGGGACCTTCATACATTGAACTGAAGGGCTTGTACAACCTTATCAATACAATGATCTTTGTGTTCACATAATAATAGAAGCAAAACGTTTTGAAATTCCAGTCCCTGTGAATGCTGCAGTGGTATTCATGTGAGAGAGAAAACCCATCACATTTTGCTGGGCTTCATCACTGAGATTTTTCAAGAGATCTTTATATTTCCTCGATTTGCAAAAAAAAAAACGCATTAACAGGTCAATTAATATCGTTCTGCAGCATTTCACTGCAGGTGTATGCTGATGGTGATTATTACTGACAACATGAGACACAGAAACCATTAAGAAGGCTTCACAGTGTGACCAGTCAGCCCCCAGGAACACATTCACAAAGGAGAACCTGACTGGTATTTAATTAATGTTAATTCATTTAATTGAAAGTAAAAGGAATGATATCAAACAGAGAATCCCAAGGAAGGCATGTAAAGACAAATATGAGATCTATATATGTACAATTAATTTACTCTTAGTTGGGACTCTCATTTGACAACAGAGGAGAGGTACCAGTTAGCACAGAGGTAATAATATCCCTGCCCTAATCTGTCCCCAAGGAATAGACATTTCAAGCTTGTTAATGATAAGGGTAAAGATACTCTGTCTATTTTGCTTAGATTATGCGGTCGTTAGAAGATGAATGACCTGAGGCGCGGAGTCTGTGGTCGCCTTTGAGACACGGCGAGTCCCGACAGGGCCGCCCAGGCAGAGGATTCTGGTTCCTGACGGGCTCCTCAATCGCTCGGCGGTGCATTCCAGCCCCGAGGAGCCGCGTCTCCAGAGCCTCTGTCTGCGCTGGGGCGTGTGTCCGCGGTTGGGGGACCGGGGGCCATGGTGCCCCTTCGCTTCCTGTGGAAGGCACGTCAAAAACATATTCCTTTCCTCTGTCCCTTATCTGGCTCCTTGTAAGTTGTCTAATAGCTTACTAAGAGTTTAATTCTCCAGAATTACTTTTAGGATGTAAATGGATTGAAGTCTTTATAAGATGCCTTTAAGTGTTACATATCTTTACGAAAAAATGATAAACATCATTGCATTATGATCACAATGTTTCAATTGAAATTGCATTCGGTAATAAGGTAACCAACTCAAAACAACAAACTAACGAACTAAAAATATGGTATGAAGAACATCAGATTTACAAAACAGGAACTTCACCAGCAGTAATTGCTTTTGTTCTAGCAATGACAGGATACACTTCAGGAATGTAGTGGTGACCAAGGACAGTTGTTGACCGGGGTTAGCTGTTCACAGGGATTCAGTAATTTTCCTGCATAACTTAGATTCCACCAAACACCACTGATGTTTAGCAAACTGGTACAACTTTACTGTGAAAGGAAGAAATGTTTTTCTCTGTTGTGTCATTTTTCTACATTTTATATACAGTAAATGAAAATGGAAAAAAAAGGTCTCACCTGTTGATGTTCTGTATATGTCTTTTTTTTACTGAGCAATGGACAGATAGAAGCTATCAAAAGTATGTGCTGTTAAAACGAAAAAACAATGTTTAATGCCCTAAAGCAGGGGTGGCCAATCTTATCCGCAAAGGGCCGGTGTGTACGCAGGTTCTTGGGATAACCTGTAGGTCAGCTGTTCAAACCCAGGTGTGAGGACTATTCAGCCAATCAGTCCTCTAATTAGGGAGCTGCAGCAAAAACCCACATACACAGCAGCCCATCCTGGATAAGATTGTCCACTCCTGCCCTAGAGGGAAGAAAAGCAGGTATGGATGAGGGTAAGACAGTCTCACTTATTCAGACATAGCTTGAATGAGCCTACAGAATATGCAAAGAAAGATACTTGATTTTCAGACCACAGTTGCGTAGATTTCCCGTAGATGTCCTCTAAAATACTACAGTAGCTGCATGTGTGACCTGATCCATCTCCCCGGTTCATTCTGTAAGTGAATGACATGAGTTTGTAACTACATTGTGTAGACTTGTATTTGCTTGCATCCACTACAATCATCCACCAAAGCATCTACCATTTACCAGGAGAACATGACGCAACAACAGTGACAGTCTCCTAGGCAACAGTAAATGACTGGAATTTAAGGAATGTGTCCTTCAACTTACAGTCATTTAATTTGCCCGATTGATCACCTTTCCTGCAATAGCTGGCAAGCTGTTTCAATTTTTTTTGCATATGCTAATGAAACAGGCTAATTATTATTACCCATGGGATACAGGAGTTCATGGCAAATGCAGAAAAATGGCATTTATAAGCAATTATTCCTTCTGTGTTTCTAAGATGTTTAATGCGTATAGCGCTAACGACCACACATTATGAGGCTTGGGGCGCCGTTTACACACCCTACCATTGCTCCTTACTCACAGTAACAATTTACAAATACTTTGCAGCACGCTAAGCAATGCACTGCCTGTAGGTTGTATGCAGGCCCCTCCCTCATAGTCCATGATGTTTCAATATTACCATATCTGTCGTAATAACGCTCACTTTTTTTTTTATGTGAACATCTTTAGGCTATATTTTCGTGCTGTGAAAGGCACACAGATGTGCCACCGAAGGTATTCTGAACCAGATGATTTATTGCAGTATGATTGCATTTTTTCATCACCCTGTTCTTCTGGGGGACTGGCTTATGAAAAAGAGATATATATTGTCCCAGCAGAGGGAGGGTGTAGTACTGTACAGGGTTTGGGAAAGCACAGTATTGAGAGACTTCATAAGGCATAAGGGTGTCTTCCTCTTTGCTGGGATCTCTCTTTTCTCCTGATCTCTTTTTTTTTCTCAGTACACATTTACTGTGGCTGAAGTCATGAAGTATCCCACTGATAACTCCGAAACAGGCAGCTAAATTGTGACTGTTGGATTGGGATGCTATCCGAAAAAAATGTTGTTTTCTCAAAATAATTGCAGCTATGTATATATTTACATAACAGATATTGGTGTCTGGGGCCACCTTTAAAATTCAGGCAGGCAGCTGTGAGTCAAGGCGTTGCCGTCGTTTTAAAGTTTTGGTTTCACAAGTGAGCAAAGATGCTGGAAAATCTGCTAATCTGTTACATTTAATAGTTTTTTTTTTTTACCTGAGCAGTATTTGGAGCAGCATTCAGTAGAATGTTAAGCTATAGGTAGAGAAGGCAGGAAAAGGAGCAAAAGAGCAAAAATCCCTCCCCCACTGGAAATAACCAGATTCCCTCCCCCCCCCAACTGGAAATATACAACAGCAGGACTAAGTGACTAATAACTAAGGATTGGAGGGCTTTGATATTTTAGTATTTACAAAATGTCTTTGTGGACCCCCAGTAACAGGTACAGCAGTGTCCTTTGCTGGGTGCATAAGGACTGACAGGAACAGGAATGTTCAACCTGAAGGCCATATTTGCTCACTACTGAGACTTGACTACGAAGTTCAAGAGGCTAGTCATGCTTTTAGACCTCCTATTATTGCATTTATTGCATTTATAATCTCCATTTTAGACGCTGAGTTACGTTAATAATTCATAAACATCAATGACATAAACTGAAATTTCACAATCTAGCTGGTGTCCCCTTTGAATTAGCACATACATATAGTAGGGTCCTACGTACAATTAATCATGACTTTGTAACATGAAGCAAGGCATGCTATCAGCACTCAGTTTTTATGAGAAAACCTTTTCTTTTAAAAAGGCTGACGCAATTATTTAAACATTAATGTCAGAATGGAGAACCCAGTGCTGTTTGTAATTCTGGGATTCTTCCAAGAAAAGCGAATCTCCCGTGGGCAGAGATGAAGAGCCGTCGGCATTGTCACATTTTGGACGCGTCCCACTGCTCCCTTGTACTGCCACCCCAGTGAGCGTTACTGTAAACACCAGCACGAGAATGTGCAAATAGCTTAGTGCAACATACTGAATTATTACTACAACCCAGTCAAACTCCATCTATCATCTTATGCTAGTGTGGACAGAACAATGATGCTCTTTTAATAATTTAATAACCATTAAAAAGAAAATAATGTGTAATCTTAGAAATATTAATGAAAAGTGTGTCTCCATGATTAGCCTATTTGGATATAGTATGTAGAAATTGTTTAAGTAATAATGTGTAATTAATTAAAGTTAGCTGGTGGTGAAATCTATTAAACACAAGGAATAGCTGAGGTGCCCCTGAGGAGAGGTTTGGGACCTGAAGCGGTGTTCATCTAGCCGACTAGATATCAGTAACTTTTTGTAAATATACAATTACTACCCCGATAAATAGCTTTACACATTTTCTTTTACTGCTTAGGACTTTTGCACAGCACTGTGTGTGTGTATTAGGTTCACATTAAATTGTAGGGACTAACCTGTTTTTTTACGTTGTGGGGACCATTGGTCCCGACAAAGATCTGTGAATGCAATCAAGACAGTAAAATGCCAAAAGTCTCTTTTTAGTTTGGTTGCTTATAGTTAAGGTTAGGGCTGGGTAGGGGTTAAGGTCGTCATGTTGTGATTAGAGTTTTCCTCATAGAATTGGATGGAGAGCACCCACAAAGATATAATTATATAATTACAAACCTGTGTGTGTGTTTGTGTGTGTGTGTGTGTGTTATATTTGTTCAACCTTTTTTCCCTTTTTTATCAAAGGAATGTTTATTAAATGAATGGGTGCACATTTCTATCTATAGCTTCTCTTGGTAAAGTAAGGAAGGTTTTTTTTCTTCTGTTATTTCCAGAGACGCATAACAGGGTTTAATTTTGCGCTGCGGGCTGTCAAAGTGGCGTCACGCTGTCTGACTTTGATTTCTCTTAGGGTATCCAAGGTAGAGACGGGGCCAATACAACAGGCTACAGAGTAGCCACATCAAGCAGGCTGCAGGAAATGAATAGGCAGCCTTTCAATCAGACCTGAAGCTCTGATGTCCTGCGTTGTGTTTTAATCCTATTTGACGATTTATTATCACTGCTCTGCTCACATGTGTGGGCGCACATACGTTGTCTTTCTTCTTACCGGTCTGATAGTGTTGGAGAAGATTAACGATGAACAAGAAACGGCAGGCTGTAAGGAAGTAGAATAGAAAATTACAGAGGTACTTGAACGCCTGTACGCTAAGGTGAGCAGGAGATGTGCCTGATGACCTCCAGAGAGTTGGTAGACCTCATTGATGCCTGCTGTAAGTCTCCTGGAGAGACGTAAACGTGCAGCAAGTCCGTGCTGCAGAGAAGGAGAGCAAGAGAACTGCCTGTACCTCAATCTATCATTTCTCCTTCTTCTTCAGAAGCCAGGAGGATGGTTCATAAAGGAGAACAGAAACAGCCTTGCTTCCTCTTCTTCATCTTGGTGAGTTTCACACTAACTTCACCTGCTTTAGCAGGAAGCGTGTAGATCCAGGTGAGAGGACTGAGAAGGTCAGATATGCTGTTTAGATGATCCTCACCGTAATGCTGTCAAATAACTAAGCAGCTTCGACACCACAATCAGCATGCAGTTTAAACCTGTCATGAATCTTCCAGTCTTTACTTTAGACGCTGACTTGAAATATTTTGGCATTTATCCCAAGATCTAATTTTACATTATGCTCTCTTAATTATAACTTATAAATGGGATCTTCAGGAGCCGTGGGATTATTGTGGTAGGCATGCATCAACTTCTTTGTAGGAAACTTCGTGTCAGAAGAGAATATCTTTATCAGAGGACTTGCTCTGCAGATGTATGCAGCGTGTTGTGCAGTGTGAGTCCAGCTAATGGGGTTGGTGACCAACTTAATCTGTTGTTTGCTGATATTCTGAATTGTGGTTCATATTCAGTATTTTCCACAGGAACTCTCAAAGTCTGTCGCTAAACCCAGTCAGAGCAAACATATTGAGTGTATTAGTTGTTATGTTTCTCTGTGAAATGATAAATCTGACGATTGGGGGCGGCGTGTGACTCGATGGGTTAGGGTGCTGTGATTCAGCAAAAAAATACATGTTGCTTTGGATACAAGCATCTGTTAAATGCATGCAGTTGAGACGGTACAAATGAAATAAGCATTATTTTTTTCTTGAGAAACCGTGTATCTCTGAGGATGTTTGAACAGGCTGTGAGGGCCAGAGGAGGCGTTGGTATTGGCCAGGTTGGACGATAGTAGGATCTGAGCAGTAGCTATGGTCAGGGTGAGAGAAGCTTCATACCTTGAATGTTTTCTTAAAGTCAGCTGAAAACCACTCCATGGATTTACTTAACCTTATCACTTAAACTATTACCGATTAAATATATATAGTCCAGCTTATAAAAAATGAAAGTATACTCCTCTAATGAAGTGTAAACAATTCAGGGGGGTTAAATGGGTAAAATATCTCCACACCAGATCACATTTATTTTATTTATAGGTCAGACACTTTCATCCAAACCGATATACAATTGAGAAACAGGGCCAGCCAGCCGGCCCCTGGAGCAATGGGAGGTTAGGGGCCTCAGTCAGGGGCCCACAAGTGAAATCACTCTGCCAGCTACAGGATTTAAACCAGCGACCATCTGATCGCAATCACAGAGTTCCAACCCACTGAGCCACACAGCAAGCCGGTGCTTTTATGCCGTGTCTGTGCCACTGCCCGCTCCCTGACCATCTCCATCCACACAGGCGTCCACTCTGCCCTGCCTGAGTGCAGAGTATTCCAGCTGCGGGGAGAATGAGTTCTACAACCAGACCAGTGGCAGCTGCCAGCCGTGTCCACCTTGCCAGCCAGGCCAGGAGCCCTATATGGTGAGCAGCCCCAGCTTACGGTGCCTCTGCAAAGGCTGGCTTATCCCCTCACACGTCCCTGCTTAGCATCCCTGCAGACCGCCTGAAGTGGTGTAGTTAATGAACTGAAGCGGCTTCAGGCAGGTCCTCAGCCTGTTTTTAAACCCTTAACGAGCAAAACCACAGCTTCCTTCAGTAAACCATTCAGCAGTACATAGTAACTGCACAGCTGCAATCTGAATGGTGTTTTGAGCCTGTTGATCTACTAAAGATTAAACAAAAATGAAGATAAAGATTTCTCCCCTGGCAAAATTGTGGTTATTTATGCGACTGGATTTGAGTGGCGTCATTGGGCACCGTGTGCAAACTACTGATTACGGGGAATCAGGGCGCCAGATACAGATTATTTTGCAAGCTTTTTTGAAGGAACTGAGAAATGGTGAATTTTTTGTCTTTTTGCTGAGATGTGTTTGATAATCGTGGCCCACACCTCAGAGCAATTTTCACAGACCACCCAAGACGCCCTAACCTGTTTCAGACTCAAACGTGACTCTTTCTTCAAAAGAAAATCACAGGGTAACCCAACTGAGAAACCCATAAATGATGCTTCAGATGGTCTCCTCCTCCACAGGTCACACAGATTCCCAGGCCTCAGTGTCCAGCTCTTAAATCTGTTTTTACTAAAGTCACGTCTCACACAAGATATTCTTGTGTCTGGCAGGTGCAGTTTCCAAAGCTGATTTATTTTGCAGTGTTAGATCGACTGTAAGTGATGTGCAAATACTGTGAATCAGTGTTGTTTAACATCTGTGCATGAAATTTGTATTGGTGCATTTGGTTTTGCAATTGGTACAAGTATATGCACAGGGGCATGGGGGGCATGTACACCCCAATATTTAATTTGGTTTCATTCATCCCCCATACATAAGCCATTGTCTTTATCTGATTAAGCTGTGTGCCCCCCAATATCAAACTCTCTCCAACACCATTATATAAACACGTTGAATTATGAAGGAATAATTCCCCAGACCAAGGCTGTAATTATAATATTTACTGGTGGGGGGTCACATTGGCCCCAATATTCAGATGTGCTCACAATGTCCCCCCCCCCAATATATATTATAATTACGACCTTGGCTCCCTCCAGTGTTGACTCCGTGGCTTCAACCTTACCCCAGACTGAACCAAGTTGTCATTAAAATTAATATAGAATGTGAATTAGATAATTAAAAAAACTATTTTAGAACAGACGTTTCTGGGGGGGAAAAACATCTAGGCTTAATTTTTTAATAGGTAAATTCTTTAATGTGAAATGAAATTGCTGGAGAGGCTTGTTGAACTGGTGTCCTTTCATTAAAATGTTTGTTTCCTGTGACTCTGTAAGTCAGAAAAGCAAGACTCGGGTTTCCTGCCTTTAAAGACTCTTTGAAACAGTGTCTGCACATCAAATGCTGCTGATGAAAAGTGATGTAAATTAGAAAGCAGTCCAGGCGTGTGACGGCAGGCCGCATGCTGCACGGCAGGCCGCCCCTACATAGGCAGCGGAGGCCTATCTACACTAACAGCTACTTCGCTCCCTACAGCTGGGAAAATGAAGCCCTTGTTCTTCGCTTCTCATATTTACATTAAGCTGCTTACCTCATGGTTTCATACAAGGCAACAATTATCCTCTACACATACCTGGATATTATACCAAAGAAATTCCTTATTCAAGGATACCACAAAACGCCCTCATGGGTTTTAAATCAACATCTTTCCGGTCTCACGCTTATGTTCATAACTGCTCTGTCCCCCTACTTACTGTAGTACAAAGAATCTTGCAAAGCTTAGTATATTTTTTTTAACATATATTCAGATTTAAGGAGGTTTAAAGGTCTACAATGCGTTTCCTTGGTACAAACATAAAGCCCAGCTAGCAGTTTGAACATTGCATTTTTAAATAACAGCTATAGCAATCTCATTTGGGAAGCTCTCTGCATTTATTTGGCTGTCACTTTTATTCGGTATTTTGATAAAGCAGAGTCAGACAGTCCCTAGAGCAGTTGGGGGTTAAGGGCCTCGATCAGGGGCCCAAGTATTAAATCACTCTGCCGGCCCCAGGATTTGAACAAGATTCCTTCCCATCAGAGGTACAGCATCCTAACCTGCTGTGCCATACATGGAAAATCTAGCCAGGAATGTATGGTTAATACCTACATACCTGTGCACCAGGAGACACTAGCTGTCTGTAGCCACAGCTTTGACAGGGACTGTCTGGTCATTATCTCAGTGAAATCATCACCCATGTGCGTAGTGGGTCTGCAGGTAGTGCCATCATTCATATAGTAAACACAGTTTAACGTGATCTGTGGCCCCTCAGGCACTCAGGGGGGGTTGGTGTCCTGTGTATTACCCCAGGAGCAAGTAACTATTGTGAACAGCCCGCATATTTCACATTCACTTCAATTATATCACATTATATAGAGTTACAGAGCATGGAATTTTAAAACAACTTCAAATTGCTTTATTTCTGCTTAGGTCAATAATGTAAGGTATATAATTAACATAAAATATGGATGAACGGCTGATATGTAGCTTTTGCAAAGATCTATTTATTTTAAGCTTTAAAGACTGAGTGTATGATACTAAATCCAAATATATCAAGATGTTAAGGGAAAAACAGGGCTGTAAGAAGATCATTTCAAGCGGAACCATAAGGGAATACCAGGCCAAGCGGAACCATAAAGGAATACCAGGCCAAGCGGAACCATAAAGGAATACCAGGCCAAGCGGAACCATAAGGGAATACCAGGCCAAGCGGAACCATAAGGGAATACCAGGCCAAGCGGAACCATAAGGGAATACCAGGCCAAGCGGAACCTTAAGGGAATACCAGGCCAAGCGGAACCTTAAGGGAATACTACTATTTACTACTTTGTGCCCATCTATAAAGATGATTGCAGTCATGTGTCAATGTAATACAAATCTATGCACCGTATGTGTTTCCACTGAGCCTTGCTAACATTGTGGTTCCCTTTCAGAACTGCGGCTACGGTGTGAAAGACGATGACTACGACTGTGTCCCGTGTCCAGCGGGCAAGTTCTCCAAGGGGAAGTACGAGATCTGCAGGCGACACAAGGACTGTGATGCTTTGTACCGAGCCACCGTGCTGACGCCGGGAACAGCAGAGAGTGACGCTGAGTGCGGATCCTGCCTGCCAGGGTAACTCACCCCCACTGCAAGAATAAACTCCCAAAGATTCTAATCATAGAGATCTGTTTTTATGAATTGGCAGCATATATTGTGCTTGTACTGAGCAATAGGTCATTTGGATTCTGTTCCTATGTATATAGCATGCAGACAAGTTAATAAAATAAATGTCTCAGCATTTAATGACATACACTTGGACGAGAAAGAACAGGGAATGAAACAAAAAGAATTGGTGTCTGAGGCCAATGCGCTGCTTACCCTTACTAAGTCTATATACTAAGTTCATGGTTGAAGAGTGATAGACTTCCAAAAGGCTCCCTACTGATAAAACCAAAGCTTTCATTCATGCTGTCAATGAGTCGACTAGGTATAATGGCAGCTAGGCTGAGCTTCCAGTGAATGGCCACACATTTGCCTGTGGGAAGCCAACGCTGGCACGCCTGTGGACGCTGTTCTCGTTACGGCAATAAATCTTATTTTACAAAACTCAAATTACAAAGACTATAAATGCAACGCAAACTTAAATCTTCAGTGTTAACTTATTGCATTTAGTCTTTAGCAATTCAAAACAAGTCAAAACACAGAGATATGGAGTCCTATGTCAATCATAATTTCACGAATCTGGACTGTAATTCCCAGACACAGAATCCTTTGTGCTACACGCTCTGCGCTGTGAAGAACGCACGCTCCAGCTCATTGGCCTGTATTTACTCTGTGCAGTGATGCGCTGGTTGTGAAATGCAGTGCGACTCGTCTAAGCCATGAATCACAGATGACATGGCAGACCACCCTGTCGGGACCTTCCACGTCTCCACATGCAGCCACGGGGGGGGGGGGGGGGGGGGTACCGTGACCGATGCCACACTCACACACGCATTCAATTGGTCACAGTACCAGCTTCAATTTTCCATCTCTTATGTGCTCAAAGGAGGACATGGTAATAATAGAAAAGAGTTGGCTGTACTGGATCAAAGCATCTGTATCTCTGACACAAGCAGTTACACAAGGGCCATGTCAGAGCACTGTAATGTTCCCCGTTAAATCACAAGATCTGGTTTTAATTTGCTTTAATAGTAAATTTATATAGCCAAGCTTTTAGGAAAATTGAATGGTGGGGTTCTAAATATTCCACTCGGAATTCCCCCCAAACTGTTTTTGTAAAAGTGTCTTTTGAAAACATGGCAGTTAGATTTGTACTATTTCAGGCTGTATCATTACTATAAGTAAAAACCAGCAAGTGACTAAACAGTGTTTTCACCTTGGTACGATAGTTGTAAATTACCAAAGAGAATCACTATAATGTTTAGTATTTTCTTCTTATTCCATTTCTGTATTGAATTCCTAAATTTGTGAAGGCTTCCAGGGCTGAGAAATGGTTTCCACGGGAACAGTGATCAACCTCTGGTGCAGATACCATACTCAGGCGGGTTTTCTCTAGCAAATAAATAGTTGCATTTTCTTCTTTGGCTACATCGACATAGAAACAATTACTAAAGTAGTAACCAATAAAATAATCAATGCCGTTTCTCTGTTAAATGAACCCTGTTGAGTTGGTAATGATTCTCACAAAAGCATAATACAAGAGGAGTACTTGAAGAATTGCAATCAAATGGCAACATCGTTAAGGCTCAGTGTGGTCAAAGTGTATATAGTTTGGAATCTGCTCACTGCAAGGTTGGATGTTGACTTTCAGTTCAATTAGGGGAAGAAAAACAGATTCATTAGGCTTTTTCCATGTATGTGGCAAGTAGCAACTGAAATCTCCATGTGAAGGTTTATGGCCTCCCACTGATTCTGGGAAAACAACTGTCAAAATGACAAAATCTGGCAAAAGAAAAAAGTGTTTCCAACAAAAATCCAATTTAGGGCTGTAAACAACCTGATACACTATCCAATAGTAACCGTCCATAAAATCCTGCTCCACGCCGCTAGCAAGCCTTCTTTTAATTTGCTGTGTCCCCCCCCATCCACAGATATTACATTCTGGAGAACCGCCCACGAAACATCTATGGGATGGTGTGTCACTCCTGCCAGAATGCTCCGAAAAACAACAAAGATTGTAAGTGGACTTTGGCTGCTCTGTGTCAGTTTATATTCCAATGATCCACTATGTATAATATTCTTACAAGTCAAATTTATTTATATATTAATAAATTATGAAAGCAAAAATATGTAGTTGCAGTTACATGATGTTTTTTAATTGACTTTCTTGCTAAACAGTTTATGACTAATTGTGATGAATTAATTATTATATATCACATTATATGTATATAGTATAATATATTATTATATATGTTATTGCTGTCGTGCATGACTGCACACGGATCGCAGAAAAGGTGCAGGAAGCAAAAAGTCAGGGCAAACACGGGGTTTAATAGGAGCAGGCAATACACGAGATGACATTACAATGACCGGACTGGGGAAACAAACGGAAACGCGGACTAAATACAATGGACTAATGACAACAATCAGGAACAGCTGGTAAACACGGGGAATCCACACAGGGTTAACGAGGGGGCGTGGCACACGGAAGGAGCGGACAATCGGGGCATGACAAGACAGGGAATACATATGTTTTTGGACTGGTTCGCTGCCACAGATACTTTCTTGTTAGCATGATAACTCAAAAAGTATTTCATGGGTATTTGCAGGCACATTGTGTGTCATATTTTGAGAAAGATGGCACAAAAATTGAAGCAACATCATATAGTGATAGAAAAGAAAAGGGCAGTTTCAGGCACTTGATACTGTTAACATGATAACTCACCACGTTTTTGAGTCTGCAGACACATTCTGTTGACAAACTGAGCTGAACAAATTTTGAGACAAATTTTCCCAAAATTGAAGCAATGCCGCTTAGTGGCAGCAATGAGTAGAGTGAAAGGAGATGACGTTAAACCTTGTGAAAGTGATAAGTCAACAAGTATTGATGGATCTTATTACTGCTTCAGCAAAACGTTGAAGATCTACACCTTATTTCATTTTGAGGCAAATTGCCCCCAGTATGAAACCATGCGGCAGCAGAAGAAGGAAGGGCAGGCTCTAGAAGATTCTTAGACATGAGAAGACAGAAACTGTAAAAGTATTTTGCAAATCTTTTTCAGCCACTGCAGGCACATTGCAAGGGTAAAGATCTGGAACTGATCTAATTTTGAGACAAATCACTCCAAAAGTCTTGGAAGTGCAGTCAAACTGTCCATATGTCATTTTGAAGTGTACAAATGCTAGTTATAAATAAATTGTTACTGAATTAAAATACAAAGCATATTCATTAAAAACTTCATGATATGTACATATGTAAATTGCAACTAAATAACAGTCATGTGTTGTTTTTTCCATTTAAAAAGTATAGGAGAATAAAGTTGAAATGGGAGACACATTATTATAAAAATATAGGTTAGGATTTTTATAAATGTATTGCTTATTACCATGTGTAGTATTGAGAATTAGATGAGCATAAACCCAAGTAGCAGGTCTAACAGTATATGTCCAAATTTGGAATGGGACACAGCTTTATTACAAAGATTTGAGTGAATAAGTTTACTACCATAAAACCCATAGTATTTGCACATTTTGCTTCTTTCTTCTTCTTTCTTTGCAGGCATGATTTCTTTAGACAAGGACACAAATAACCAGAACATGAGCATAGCTTAATTAAGTGAAGATCACTAAATAGCAAACTGAGAGCACAAAAAAATTAAATTGTGCACACAGTATAGTACATTTTGCACACGAAAAAAAAAACGTCCTGCAGGGCTCCGTAAATGCCATTGGTGTATCTGTTACAGTTCTTACTTTTATGTCACAGAAAATGTTGGTCAGAGTCCAAATGAGGAATAAATGAAATATAAATATTTAGATATATATTTAGATAGATATAAGAAGATTAATAATAAAAATAACTTTATGACATGGCCATTAAGATATACACAAAGAAATACAGTTAACCACCTAATTGGTGCAAATTGGCATGTAAGTGGAATGTACAGTAAATTAATACAGTAGGTGTAGTTTCAAAGTTGCATGTCACAGCTAGGACTAGCATTTGGGTTCAAAAGATACTATTCACTTTGACATTTCCAGTTGATCCATCCAGTAATTCCAGAATCTGTAGAGGTTGAGGGCTGTAGGAAGAGTAAGGATTTGATAGGCGGAGGGTCTGTCCAGGGCATTTATTGCCATCATTCCAACAGCATCCTGTCTAGTTATCTATTTGGGTAAATGGCTGTCTGACCGTTTATGGAGCTGTGGATAGCAGGCCAGAAGCATGATCTAACCGGAACCAAAACAAAATCATCTCATCGTTAACTATACCAGTTTCTCAGCTTGATGAGGAGGCTTCTATAACGAATTGTTTACTGAGGCCGAAAAGAAGTTTACTGCCTTTGGTCTCAACCAGGGAAGAGATGAATGGATGGGGGGGTTAGAGATGAATGGATAGGAGTCTTTACTAGGGGGGCTGATGACAAACTATTCGTGACTTAAGTCAATAAATACACATTTATTTGGGGTTGTCCAAAAACATTTTAGCTAGGCTCACGCCCCGCTAAAACAGACCTAACAACACCCCTGGTTTCACCCCCACATCTGTTATATGATTCATAATATGGCCGACTCACAAACTACAGGGCACATCTGAAGGACTTGAGCACCAATAGCAAACAGCAACACAGAAAACAGCCTTGTTCTGCTCTGTCTACAATCAGGACATGGGCAAGACTGTAACATAAGTGTCACCTAATACCATTTCAGAAGATTGTTTCTTCTTATTCATTTATTCATATATAAATGCACACATATACAGCTCTGGAAAACATTAAGAGACCACTCTATATTAAAAAAAAAAAATCCTGATACATGGCAGGTTGCTTCGAGGTTCAAGCAGCACACAAGAACAAGGTGAAGCGGGAGACACTGGGGACAACCAGAAACCAGCCAGGTAGAGGGCAGAAGCGACTTTCTAATGCTAGACATGATCATCAACTTACCTGGCATCAGAGGATGATCTCAAGAATGGAAACATTCAGTGGTGGGAAATACACTGCTAGGACAGTTCGTATCAGGCTTCTAGAAGCATGACTGAAGACCCATAAAGCAAGGAAGCAAATATATATAGTTCATCAATGAGAAGCAGGGAAGAGCCAAGCTGGAGTTTGCAAAACAATGTATATTTTACACAGGCTCATGAATTACGAAATGAATGAAACTGAAAATTTGGTTTCGGTCTTAATTTCTTGCCTCTCCCCCGTAACTAGTGAGTTGAGTTATGCCCGAATTGACTTGTGTCCAGTGGTCTCAGTCCCAAATGCAGATGCAGTCAACAGATACCTGTGTGTGTGTGGGGGGGTATGTATATATTGCAAAGGTCCCCACAACGTGATAAAAAACCTGATATTTTGACACTGTGGGGACCATTCTTTTACATCCCACAAGGGGAAAATCTGTAAAAAAAAAAATCTGTGCCTGCGATCAAACTAAAATAGCCAAAAGTCTTGTATTTTGTTTGGTTACTTATGGTTAAAGTTGGTACTGGGTAGAGGTTAAGGTTGTCATTGTTAGGATTAGGGTTATGCCCATAGAGATGAATGGATGGTCCTCACAAATATTTGAATACAAACGTATGTGTATACATATAGCATTCAGACTGTGACTTCAGCATTTAAGTGATCAATCCCAGTTTACATCTGGTGGTGTCATCAGCCAATTAGCTAATAATCTCGAGGAAGCAGTTGACTATGGGAACTATACTGTTTGTTTTTTTATTATTATTATTATTATTAAAAACACATTGCATGAATCTTAAATTATATTTTATTATATTATTATTAACTTTACTGCCTTAACACATGTCAAATGCAATTAAGTTTAACTTAAACTATAGTCAAATCTTTTGTGAAGATTTATATTTAATATAAAAACAAAACATTGAAACTGGCTTCAAATTCATCGCCAACAGTATTTTAATGAGTAGCTGTGCAAATATACACATCGACAGCTCTCATCACTCTTACTGCTTTTGCAGGTGAGAGTATGTGTGTTTGGGGGTGGGGAGGGTGGTAATTAAATGTGTTACGGAAATGTTTAAAAATGCCAAACCATGAAAAGGTTTAAAATGCTAAACACGGAGTCACTTGCTGAAGGCCAGACGAGCTTCCACTTGCCAAATGATTTGCAAACAGCACAGAGCCGAGCACAGCTTTACGTCTCATAATTAAAAAGTGTAGGAGGCAGGAAAAAAGCGAAGGGGAATATTAGCAAGTTTATGTCTGAAGTATTTTGGTTTTTGCTCATTCCTGTCTTTCTTCCATCTATGTTGTTTCTCGCTAATTGTTTCCAGAACTTTCAGCCAGCGCACAAACTTCAGCCTGTTTTTTATATTTGTTAGATGTTTAATGTGTTTGTTTGTTTCTTCCATTCCTGTTTTTTTTTTTATTAAATTATACGCTGAAGGTGCAATCCTCAGTTTTAAACATTGACCCATAATTTATCATTTTGACCTTATTTATTTCGTAATTTATCAGTATAAAGAGAATAACATTCATGTAGTTTAAGGCACTTTTTTGTGCCGCAGAGTGGATTTCATATATATATATATATATATATATATATATATATATATATAGCATCAAGTCTTGTTTTGCTTGACTGGCGTACAAAAGGGAATTAACGAGGCAGTTAGAAGATTAATAGATGGTAATAATCGATGGCCTTGGGTTGCCAGAATTCTTAATAACCAACGGTGATTTAAGACGGCTTGTTAAATTTTAACACTGAGCAAAATTTAATGGTAGCAAACAGTGGAACTTAAGGAAGCAGATTTTTTAATCTGTTGAAGTGGAGAATGGCCAGAGTAGTGCATAACTTCATTTTGATATGTTTTACAGATAGATACAGAAGACTTTTTGAGTGGAAACTCTGTGCTTATGTATTTCTGCTGAATGTGCAGCAGGTTTAGTCCTCGGTGACCATGTGCCAACAGGACAGCAGGAACTCATGTTAATCTTATATTTCATCACCCAGAGAAGTTCCTACCTGCTGCTTTTCCCCTCCCTGAAATTGACACAACCAGATGTAAAAGATAGGGCTGTTTTTAAGAGAAGTCATCTTAACATTACAAAGGGAAAATAAAGCTCTTAAAGCAGACTGTTTTCAGACTTAATGACTTATTGTAATGCAGCTTCATTAATCAGGATCTCAATCACTACAGCTGCTTTGTTTATGCTAAAAACAGACGGAATGCTGAGCCCGAGATTTAGCCGACTCTCCGGTGCAGCATGTTTATGGACTAAATGAAGTGGTACATTCTAAAGAATATTTTTATATCTGGATATGGTCCACTGGATATGAATTGTGACCTGATAAAAAGCAGGAGACCATAAGATGTGGGTTCTTTCTGGCCCTGTTTAGCACTGAACCTACAGACTGCAGGCATTCCAACCCACAGTTATGGCGTCCCTTGGATGAGTCGCACTTGTATGTGTTGTGCTGTGTGGTCCGTCACTTTCCCCTCTGTGTAACACCCTGTTCTCACGTTCTGTGTCACAGGCATGCGGGCGGCAGTGGAGTCACCAGGCCGTGGTACCAGCATGTCGACCAGCACCACCATCTTTCCACACCCACACAAAGGTCGGGCACCTGCTGCAATGCGCTGAGCACATAAACAAGGCGGAAATCTGTGATGTAATCTGTAAGGGAGATGTTAGACACTAGCAGCACCACACCTACTGTGTCTAATGGCTAACAAACAGCAATATACTATCTTTGCATATATTGTAGTAGAAAGTAGAGATGCATCAATCTGATATTCACTTAAAACAACACGTAAAAACGAGGTGGAACAGTGTGTTAGGTATGTTTGTAGTAGCCTAATTAAATATTTTTTGTCATACATTTTTCCATCTGTATTTACAAGCCTAAAAAATTTAGATATAAAGTATAACAAAGTAAAAAGTGCTCTTGTATCGGAATCTGTATCGGTATCGGCAATTGTGTATCAGAATCGAATCGGAACTGAAAAAATGTGGATCAGCCCATCCCGGGTAGAAAGTGTTGCTTCGGAGTGTTTTAATCTCATGACTCTAAGCCAACCAATCCCTAGGTCAATTGAGGGTTAAGGACCTGATTCAAGGGTCCCACAGTGAAATCACTCTGCTGACCATGGGATTAGAACCAGCAATCCACCCATCGCCCACTGAACGACAAACCACCTCCTAAAAAAACATCTTATACAATCTGCAAATCCATTTGACATCATTTTAAAAGCCTTTTTAACTTCCACCTTATGGTACTGTAACTGTTATCTGTAAGCCAAAGTTGATTGTATAAAATGCATTTTTACTTTGTGTGGAAGATCCTACTGGACAGGGTCACTTGGCAACTGCCCTCATCATCGCCATGTCAATAATCTTCATCATGGCCATCGCCATAGTGCTGATCATCATGTTCTACATCCTGAAGGCCAAGCCCAGCAGCCAAGGTGAGACTGCTAACTCTGCTGATATGTTTAAACACACACACACACACATGCACACAGATGGATACTGAAAGCTGATCTTTGCTTGTCCGTAGCTTGTTGTTCTGGCCAGGTGGTGAAGACTGTTGAGCCTCAGTCAGACAGGCAGGAAGAGAAGAAGGACATCCAAGGTAAGATGTTTACTGACATATTGTGACCCATCAGGGTCAATGTGTCAGGCACAACCTTCAAAACTTTGTTTGATAATGTATTCCAAGTAAAAGGTTTAATTCTTTATAGTAAGAAAAACTATATGGATGGTGGATGAAGCTGAAAATGTTGTTTTGATGGAAAACCAGGGGTGGCTTCAAATTAATTTCGGGGGAGAGCATGGAGGCGGGGCATAGGACCTCTGTCTATCAACACCATATTTTCTTCAAATACACTATAATTATGACTATGATGTCATGTTCTTCATGTGTTAATCAGAAAAGTTATATTAAAATATATTCTTCTAAAAACAAACTGATTTAATTTTAGTTATATTCTCTGCTCCATTACACCATTACAGTAAATACCATTGCAAAACCACAGAAACGATGAAAATGTTACCATAAGTGACTATACCTCTAATGGAAAAACTAATAATATGGAGATATGAATAGATAATATGCAGCAAAAAGTAACAACGTTGTATGAGTCATGTCTGCCTTTGATAGGAAAAGGGAGAACTTTCACCTACCAGCTAGTTAGCACTCTGTGTGACTCAGTGGGTTAATCCTCGGGGCCAGTGATCAGAAGGTTACCTGTTCAAGCTCCATGTGAACCGGATCCTGGGCTGTGATACACACACACCCAACCCAGGCTTACGCCCTCCTGTCTGTGTGTCTCATGGAGCACAAGATGGGACAGGCAAAAGGAGATCTTCTACTGGGATTAATAAAGTACCTCAATTCTTAGCACCCATATCGATGGAATCCCCAAGTTTACACACATGAAAATGTTAGGATTTGTGCAATTCTGGGAAGTACTTATAGTTGTGTGTGTATGTATGGGAGAACTGTGTTCTGCATTGTATGATTGACATCACTTGGAGCCAATGAGAAAGGGGCCACCTCAGCTGCCACCCCCCCCCCCCATCAACTCCATGTTTAGTCAGGACTATATATGAGATACTCTATACTGCATGGTCTTCAAATAAAAATCAAAGGTCTTCTGATCAGAGGGAGAAGGTTTTCAGAAGACAAAGAGCCAGTTCTCTGTCCAGGAGCAGGCAATACAATTACCTTGGGAGAGTTTTGAGTGGAAATCCCCTTTAAAGGGAAGATTTTTGAGGTAGTTCAGTACAATTTAAACCATATTTGAAACAACTATTAGGTTTTATTTAGTTATTTCATAATTCCTTGGTACTTTTTGAAGATGTCTGTTGATAGTTGAGTTGTGGACTAATGCAATTTTATGATTTTTAATCATGCTAGAACAATAAAAGCAGATGTTATAAATGACAACAGCTGCAGTCCTGAGTTCCTCACCCTGCAGGTCTGCTGGGATTGTTCAGCACACCAGTGCCTGCACTGTCTTTGCAAATGGAAAAACACACCTTCATTTGAATAACAGTAAAACCTTCAAACTCTGCCCACCTGCAAAGGCGTCTACTGCAGTGGTTTTCGACCCGGTCCTCAGGGACCACCAGGAGGTCCAAATTTTTGCTACTGGGAGCTGGGACTGGGTTGAGATACAGCGCTATACTGGATACTCACTGGGCCCAGTTAACAATTACTCACTTGTGCCTTCAAGGACCGGTTTAGGAAGTCACACTCATCTTCTGAGCTGTTGCACAGTACCTGTCTGGTCATGGTTTTACACAGAGGATCAAAACCACAGCATCTTATGCACATTTGTTTACTGCAGAGGAATCCATCAGCTAGTTTTATTACCACCCTTACCATATAGACATTTAGATAGATTGATTTTCATAATTGGATTTTTATGGCCTATGATAATATATTGCCTTTTGACAAAGTTTAGAGGAATGTGAGCATTATATTCTTTGGCTGCTGTGCAGTAGGCTGTCATTTTGTGAGGAGCTATTAAGAGATTTGCGTCCATTCTGTCTCCTCTCCTACAGAAAATGTGGTCATTTTCGCAGAAAAGGATGAATTTGACAAACTCAAACCCAGTCCCCAAAAATCTCCAAAAAGGTAAGCAAACCCATCTTTAGTATGTTCAGTCTGCCAAAGTGTACTTCTCATTAGGTTTATAACCTCATATAATGAAAGATTAATTTAATTTATGTGCCAAAAATGTGGTAAAACTTTACTAAAGAAGCACAATGTAGTGATCCATCGTTAATCAGTCATTGACGGTTCATGTATTTCATTCACTTCCTATGATTGTTTATCATTTACTTGCCCCTCAAGTAAAGTGTCACCAAAAATGCTCTTTACAAAGAATGTGGGAAAAAAATCAATGGTCTCATTTTTTTTTATTTTACGACACAAACATGTTATAAATATTGCAAGTGTAGAACAAGTAGAGTCTGTTGCTACTTGAATGAAGATCTCAAAGGGGTGTTTTTTTTATCTTTTTGGGATCTGCTGGTAATTAAGTCACCACAGGACAAGCTCTAGCAGTTCAGTCTCTCGCTAGTCCCTCTTGTGGGCAGAGCAGTTTGGTATGTGAAGATGGGGAAGCCTTGGGGAAAAAAATTAGTTCACTGGAATGATTTTACTGAAAACAATATGTGGCTTTCGAGCGATGAGGTAGTTTATGCAGATGGGCCTTGGACCGATATCTGACAGCCCAAATGTGGCCCGCGTGGATGTTAAGGATGTAAGAGCATCTATCTGGATGCTTTTTAACAGCTGTGTGGGTGGTCATTTGCACCAGAACATCCTCACTGGGGTCAGTGGTTCTGATAGCGATAGCCTCCCTTTTGCACAGTTTTGCATATGGGACCAAGCTATGGCATGTTGCCCATGAAAGCTGCACTCTGATAAGCAGGTCTTAGCAGCATCGCTCGGTTACACCATACCCGTGCCCCCCCCTGCCCCAGTGGGGAGGGTACACAGCGTCTGCATGCCATGAGCTGTACTGAAATTCAGACTGGGTTGCCAAACACTGCACATATCAGGTGACGGAGAAACAATGACATTCTGTGAGCGTCGCCGCTGCGTTTTCTCTCAGCACGGAGCGTGCGGTAGGAGAGGGGACACCGGGAGTGCAGGAGGGATTATCCCCAGGATCCTCTTTGTTCTGTCATATGCTGGTGGGTTAGGATGGGTGCTGCCTATTAGTGGCCTGTCAGTACAGACACACGACGGTGTTTGGTCAAAACCAATGATATTGCTGAATTATTATATCTGATCATTTTTAAAAGCTGCGAAAATTGGTCAAAGCTCTTGGATGTGTTTACGGACGTGACCCCAAGATGACCGTGGGTGGTTCAGCTACTCGTCAAAATACTCGTCAAAACCCATTCATATAGAACCGTAGACTCACAGACAATGTACCGAACGTTGGCACAGACATTTCAGTAGTTCTGGAATTTCCCCGAGCTGCACCGACTCCGGCTAAATGGCCGCTATCTCCTGTCCGGCAGTGAGAACGACGCTTCTTCGGAAAACGAGCAGCTGCTGAGCCGCAGCATAGACAGCGACGAGGAGGCGGCCCTGGAGAAGCAGGGGGCCGCCGACATGTGCCTGCTCTCACTGGTCCACCTCACCAGGGACAAGGCATCCTCCTCTGCCAACAACAACAACAACAACTACAGCAGCAAGTTCACCGGAGTATGTGCTCTCTCACGCCACCTACAGGAGCTATTTAAAATCAAAATAAAATGAAACACTGTGCTGGGATCACAGCCTGGTTTTTCACTGATGACTCTGATTACAGAATGCAACGTTTTCAGTGTGAGTTCCTCAGCTGCTTCTCTTTGTCTCTTGATACAGAACCGAAGGAAAAAGATTTTGGGTCTTTACACAAAAGCCTGCAATGTTTCAGAGGGTAAGTGGCTGGTGATACAACACTGTGCCTCTTGGTCACACCTATACAAAGTAGATAGGAACCTCCTACAGATCAGTGTCAGACAAAGGATATTTTGACGCCAATATACATCAACTCTCTTCACATCAGTCTAGATACTACAGTGATTGTATTGGTCTCTGCTCTTGTTTCTTAAACCTGTAGTGTCATTGTTATCAGAATCTATAACCAAGAAATTGAACTTGATTGATATCCTGTCAGACCACTGAAATATGCTCATATATCTGTGAACTGGGAAGTAAAAATTAAGAATTTAGGCATTTTCCGCCACTTTAACAGTCTCTTTCCTTTCGATAACTGATCATTAGAATATTGGTCTCTGGTGCCCTTGTGCTGATGCAAACGCTTGTCCCCTGTGCCCTTGTGCCCCCACAGGGCAAAGCCCCACAGAGCTGCCCTTCGACTGCCTGGAGAAGACCAGCCGCATGCTGAGCTCCACGTACAACACGGACAAGGCTGTGGTGAAGACGTGGCGCCACCTGGCGGAGAGCTTCGGCCTGAAGCGGGACGAGATTGGCGGCATGTCAGACGGCCTGCAGCTGTTTGACCGCATCAGCACGGCAGGGTACAGCATCCCCGACCTGCTCACCAGGCTGGTGCAGATCGAGCGGCTCGACGCCGTGGAGTCCCTCTGCTCCAACATCCTGGGAGCGGCTGAGGGGACCACCGCCGCCAGCGTGACCCTGTCCTCTCGGTGTGCCAGCGTGTGAGATCCAGTCCGACCCCCCCAACAACATGAAGAATTGTACCACATGGATGGAGAGGCAATACCAGGACCACAGCGAAAGACATAAGGCCTGCTTGCTTGTTAAAGGCCTTCCATGCAACATATTTTGGGTACTGAGACAGGCCGGACTTAAGAGTTACGCAAAGAAAAGACAGTGGAAAACTGGCTCTGTTCCCCTGACAGATTTTCTTCGCCTTCAGTCCCACATGGAGCACAGGAGTGTTGGTAAACTCTGGCGCAGGACGCTCAGATCAGTATTTACTCCAGGATTTTCTTAACTGTCACAGTGGTTAGTTGCATGTGTGAATAAATTCTACAGTTTGAGATATTCAGTGTAATGGCACAAGTCCACTGGAATGCAGGAACCAGGCCATGCTCCAGCTGTACTGCGAAGAGAGACTAGTGACAGCATGGTTCCAGCTCGCTTTGGCTTTTCGCTGCAGATGGGTCGGTTCGGTAAAGGCGTTGCCGGGTTTGGACAACAACAGTGACATAAAACCGAGGAGACTCTTATTTACTTTTCACATGGTGTACATCATGATTTACTACGTGCTAATTTCTGCTAGCGTGCCTGTGAGAATCGCTGTGTTATGTTAGCATGAAATATTAGTGGAATTAACAGTAGCTTTTGCATTTAGAATCCAGTCCATTCGGCCATTCTATAGTACTTTTTTAAGTAGGCAGTTGGAAATTTACAAGTTCCAAATCCCTCAATACATTGCGATGTGCGATGCTACTAATTATGAATAATGAACATAATATACCCTTTTTCCCTTCAGATAATCCATGCATGTCGACACAGAAAACCACTATCTCCATGCAGCTCAACCAATCAGGTGGTGGTGATGCAACCAGCTCAGTTCAGTCATACTTTTGGCCCTGCTACTAAGCAAGGCCATGTCAGATCGGGTATCGGTCAGGTACTGCTCGCATAATTAATGCTTCTGTGAACACTCATCCTGACCCATCAGGAACATTTCACACAGGAACTCGGTTATAATTTAGAACACTAGGGGAATGTACAATCTGATCTAATGCCTTCAAAAACCAGTCACAGCTAAGCAGAATCTAATCTAATTATATTCTATTTACTGATAAGTTTACCTCTTCTGAGTTTATTTCTTCATCATAAATCCTTGAACTCACGAGTTTAAATATGCTTCCCTGCTGCTGCTTGTTATTGCCGCTGGTCTTAATTGGCTGAAAATGCGGTTTCAGGTTATAGATATAGTGCAGAGTCTCCTGACTGCTAACACCCACTAACCAATAAAGACAGAGAGACTAACCATTAAAGTAGCCAGTGCAAATGGCTGTATGGCTCCCTAATTGTGAGCTAGGAGCAGCATAGCATGTTACTATGTCATTTGATTCTTTATGGCTTGTAAAGACTCAATGAGCAGGTCTCCAGACATTTAGCTGAATTCTCAGTATGCGTTGACTCATTATTATAGCATGTTCTCGCAGCACTTTTTAGTTGTCTATTGAAAACAAGGTTGTGTGGAAGGTTGTGACATTTCTTAATGAGGATTAAAATCAGAACATTTCAGTACTGTCAGCTGTCAAAACTTATACAAATCAGTTTCACTTACCTCATTTGCATATTGTGTAGTAGAGAAGAATTTAAGGGAAACAAGATAAATAACAATGAAAAACAAATGTGTACCAAGAGTGTATATATAACTTATTACTGTACTGTAAATATGCATCAGTAGAAAAGTATTAATAAAATCCTACATAAAATTGTGCTTTTCATTCTACTTGGGTAAATTTGGTACACCATTGAACGGGTTTGCTTAATTTTACCGTACATGGGTAATTTTGCAGGAATTTAGTTCATGGATAATCAAATTTGATTTAATTGTATTTGGTTGATGTCATTAACTCTACGATGATTTCACTTTATTTTCATTTACACAGGTGAGTTTGTGGGCAACAGAATATTGAAGGATTTATCTTGGTTTTTCTACACAGGAGAGATTTTGCAGGTGTTTCATTCATGAATGATTTTAAATGATTTAACTTTACATGCGTGATCTTGTACTGGGCTCTTTCTTTAGATTGTCATTTGTCTTCATTTGTAGGTGTTGAATATTGAATCTAAATCAAGAGCATTTGTATGTTTCTGTTAACATCCAGCACTGGCCACAGGAAGAGAGTATGGAAGTGTAGGTGGAGTGAGTATGGAAGTGTAGGTGGAGTGAGTATGGAAGTGTAGGTGGAGTAACCAGGCCCAGTCCATAAGGATGCCAGTCCACAGCTTTATCACAACCAGTTGCACTCAGTGTGCTTAGTATAGACATTTAATGACATCTGGGGCCTGTGTCACTGTATCTGTCCATTTATGCTGTGTTCCATTTACCTCGGCGGTCAGAACTTGGACCTGGGAATAGCATCACACCCACGTTAACCATGTTCCAGTACAACAAGCCAGAAAGCCAGTTAGCAATACCAGTTCTAGCCAGGTTCATTGTTAGCCATTGTTAGCAATACCAGTTGATAACAACGCATTACATTGTATTTTGTGCAATACAAACATCGTAGCAACATGTCCACAGATAGAGGTTGGACAGTACTGTACTGTATGTACGACCATTTTAATGAGACACAAAAAGACATGAGTGCTAATAAACAGTATATAACTAAAGTTTTCACTTCTGTTGATGAAGGGTGCAGCCATCTTGAATTCTGAGGTCGGGGTTGCAGAGGTTCCTCTGACTTTCCGAATCGCAAATTCTGACGTCCAATTTCAAATGGAACCATGGCCCATTAGAGAGCTCAGGGGCTGTGTGCTTGGCAGCAAATCCAGGAATTACAGCAACACGATTAGTGTATCCCCTGACACCCTGTGGAGGGCCCATACCTCCACAGAAAACCCACCTTTATTCACACAGCAGGAAACCCAGGGGTTGACAGTCTGTGGGAGCAGCAGTCTAGAGCATTTATCATGTCATAAGGTACCTGCCATGTGGCTACGGTCGACAGTAAGCTCACAGACACTTCTCTGCGCACTTCCATTTCATCCGTTGGCAGCCGGTGAGGGAAGTAGTGGGAAATGAGGGAGGACTCACAAGGAGGTGCAGGGTGGCGTAGATAGCTTTAAGGTCCACCAGAACAGGGAGTGATCGAGTTTGTGGGAGGTGCTTCCCTGCCAAACATCTGTGAGTAAATATATGCTAGTGCAAACCAAACAAACTGGCACATCTTCACAGCACAAAAACACTGAAGGGCACACCATAACCACATAAATGTGATCATTTCACTTTATGTCCACAGTGAATAAAGCCACACATATGAAAGAAAAGACATATGAAAGATGGTAGATGGGGAAAAATCTGGGATCATCATAAAAATGGTTTATTCCTCAAACTTTTGTCTGTTATATTTCTGACAGAATTTTAAAAAGTACCTATTGCCCTGATCAGATTTGACCCAAAAAGCAATGCAGATTGTCAACTGCTCTTCTCTGAAGGTTACGGTCAAGGAGGGCTTGACGTGTGAGTCGGCAGCACTTTGCTCATGACAAGCAGAGATACACACATTTACAGGACCACACACACACACACACCGCCTCAACCTAACTGCTGAGCCAATCAGATCTGCAGAATGGTGGAGACAGAATTAGGTTTCGGCTGACTGGATTGCTGATGTCACATCTTGCAAAAAGTGAATGTTGCAAAAATTGTAATGTTCACCTCAGCACAGAGAAAAAAAACCCTGAATAATAGCTATTTAATTTGTTATCCATTACCTGTATCAAAACTAATGTGCACTCAGACCAAATAAACAGCATCTGAAATGTATAAAATCTAGATCCAAAATAATAATTAAATAACATATAATAACCTGTCAACATACTATAGGAGGAAAAGGTCAACTTGAAGCTTGATAGATCTAATCCACTGGATGCCATTAGTAAAATTTAAACAACATCAGGAAGTAATGAAGCAGACCCCAAGGTACAAGCTTGGAGGTCTGAAGCGAAGATTTTCCAAAATTTGTAGACAGAAAGGAGAAAAGCTCCAATGGTAACAGTCATAATAAGGTTGCGTATAATTCAAGTCCATTGAATTATTCCAATAAAACAATATGCAACACTGATCCCATAGCATGACCACATTCAACAAATCAGCTTAGGGAGGGAAACCTGAGATAGACAGCAGCTGAGGCAGTGCCATCACAAGCAAAGAAAAACAGCTAGACTAAACTAGCTAAACTTGGAAAAAAACAAACATAAAAAAACTCAAAATTAAACTCACGGTCCCTTTGTTAATTTAGAATAATATGAGCATTTGGATTATCAGCTTACAATTTAAATCATCCTTTAAATTAAGGTAGAATTCATTCATTCATTTAAATTAAAGAACACTCCAAATTAAGTGTGAGTGTACAGTTCTATGTGTCTGAAAAAAGATTTATTCTTGTGTTTTATTCATACTTTTAGTATTCATACTAGAAGTGAGGCTTTCATACTAGTAGTGAGGCTTTCACCTCCAGGACTGGGGATTCTGTGCTGCCTGAGATAGGCTGTGTCCCACCGCTGTGCTCTGCGCTGCCTGAACTGACATCCCGCCCGGGGTGCCCCCCAGCCCTGTGCCCTGTGCTGACTGGGATAGGCTCCAGGTCACCCCAGTGAGCATGTATTGGATAAGTAGTTGGAAGATGTATGGATGGATGGACTTTTGCACTGTGTAATTCAAGACCCTAAGCACAACAATATGTGCGGTTTTAAGTCTGTTAAACATAAAATTACATTTTGGAACAATTTTGCAAATAACAAGTAAATATAATTTTAATAACAGGTATCCACTAAAAGCATGCCTTTTTTTATTGCAATTAGAGTCAATAAAATATGACTTATGCCAAATTACATTAAAATTATTTTTCCCTGTTATTTTTGGTACATATAAAAGCACATTAAACCCTGAAGAGTTCAATTATATGGAATAACTGAATACAGCCCTGACAGATCATTTGAAAATCATATGCAACTTTTAAGAAGACTCATTAAAAATATAAATGACTAGATGATGGAAAATGATTTCCTGCTCTGAGGTAGAAGTGAAGGGAAAACAGACTGGAGCAAATTAAAATTTAAAACCCTTGACACAGTATAAAAGATTTTAAAAGCATTTACAGACATCCAATTTTCTTTGTTTGCTTGACAAATTCACCGGGGCAATTGCAGTAGCACTTTAAAGCTATCAAAATGTGGCAATAAAAATGAGAAACCACTTCTGAGTATGAACAGTTTGAGCCAACACCAGAGAGCAAAACAATGTTTTCATGTGCATAAGCAGCACTATTAATTTGAGCATGTTTTTAGAAAACAAAGTAAATCAGCTTCTACCTCAAACAGTTATTGCATATAATCTTAATTCTGTTGTTAAAAAGTTGCATAAAAAATATAAAGCAGAAGCAAGATTAATTCCATCTGACTCCAGGATACTTGCTAAACAAAAACAGAAAAGACTGCTTTGTCTCAATGACATAGAAGCCGATTAGACAATCTAGTCTAATAACGATGGCATCCCAACAAAGGTCTAATAAAGTGTGATTTTTATCCTTAATCTCCACACTCTGCAAGTATGGTTTCAGACTATTAGCACTATAACTATAATAACAGGCTTAGAAATTTTTGTAGATAAATGGAGATGAAGTAGGCCGGCGTAAAATGACCAATGGCCTTAAATATCATTAGAGCTTTAAAACTGATTAATTAGGCTACCTCTGTGCTTATATGGTTCTGTGCTTTGGAATTTGAGCCTTATTTAGCACCAAAATTTTCTTAGCTGCAGACTGGAATCATGTGGCATCAGTCACTGTAAGGTGGTACAACTATGGTTTAAGTAAACATGAAGAGCTTCTACGAGGAGACAGACATCATCAGCACGGCTTCCAATCCAGCAGGCCCAGGAGATAATAAATCCCAGTTGCCCTTTGGATGGAGCCTATGTGCAGTTGACCATTTTAGTGCCTCTCCTAATGAAAACAACAGAACTAACCTGGAATTTAAACTCTCTGCCCCCAGGTAAAGTGATGAAAATACTAGTGCTCTCTTGGTTAGTGGAATTGCTGGATCTGAAGCGTTTCATTCCTTTCCAAATTAACATACCCTAATTAAACAAAAATTAAATATCCCCTATTTCTTGGACTGGACTAAACTTCTGCAGACTATTTCTTTGTATACTTCTGCCTGCCTAAAACCTGGGTCTCACACTTCATCCGGATGCAAATACATAGAAATAAAAGCTGAAATTCTGAAAGCGCATCTCACATTCATTTTTTGATCCCAAACTTAAATGTCTTCAGTGTTAAGCAAAAACAAATGCATTACCCATGTTCCAGTATTTATAGAGGGGAGTGTATGTAACCAATACTACGCTGTATTATTCAGTTATAGCAGACACTGTTTCTTATTTGGTTGATGGAACTGTAATCTCGTCTGAGTAGCTTAGTGGAACAATGAAACTGATGTAAGCATCATCTGATTAGAGGATCTTCAGATTTAATAAGAACTGCAGTTTGTATTGTTAGTGTTTAACATGTTTAAAACACTTCATTTCCCAACTCTTCATTTGATCAAACTTGTGTACATTTTTTAAAATAACCTATCTATGACCCATGATAATCGCCCTCTGGGAAATTGCAGATTTCCTTTCTTTGTGCAAGACAAACTGATCAAAGAGTATAATGATTGCTTGTATGCAGTACTACATTATGTAGTACTTATTGACTTAAGTTGGATTACATTTGTATCTATTTACTCATGCTATTCCACAAATAGGACAACATTTCCTGAGCTGAAAATGTTTTGTCCAGAAATTGTGTTGAATCCTGGCCAGAGGTGAAAACACTCCAGGAATCCCATCCATGATCAACCACTGTGTTCCAGCTCCTGGACATATGTCTGTGTTGCAAACTACAATAAAACATTCATATAGGAAACTGTAAAATGATTTTCTATACACATCAATTACATGTTTGTGTCATTTAACTAATCAAGATATCTGTTTGCCACACGATCACCA